GGAGGCGTGCCAAGCAGGCCATCCGTGGTGGGCTTGTTTGCTGAACTACTCCTGAGCCATGACTCAGTCTGTGCTTCCTTTAAAAGTATTTCTGTCCTATTGCCACATATTTCTCAGCCTCAGGAATACCTCATGGATGCAGACTAATCTTTTCTTATTGTGGTAATGTTACCTCCAGGCTCATTCCTTCCCTGAGGCGGTTGTGCTCTGGTCATTACATATGCAGTTCCGATTGACTCTTGAAGTGAGTCTAGAACATTTCCACAGACCTCTGAAAATGAAGTCCACACTCCAATGTGGAGTGACCTTTGTGGACAGCAAAGGTCCTTTGTATCAGGAGGTGAATGGAATGTCCCCAATCTTTAACATCCACATATGAGGTTAAGGGTGCTAATGAGACTTTCTGCTTGTGATGACACTAGTGGGAGACCCCCATATACAGCCCATGTCAGCCATGTCAGTGCAGGTCATCCTAATGATTTACCAGAAATATCCACGCCACCATAAAATACGCGATTCTTTCATTTATTACGCAATTTATGGGTTGACTCAAGTGTTTAAACCAAGTGTTTTCCCACTGAAGAATAGTGAGTTCATTCCTAAGGGAACATCGGCATAAAATTCTTGACTCAAAACACTGCTTAGAAGATGCAGGTACACCAAGTCAGCTGCCCGCCTTGGAGATTCCCAGGCGCCCTCAAAATGGAGGTTCACACAGCAAACAGGGAACACTTCTGTGTGCATGGAAGGTGAACCACAGGCCTCCGTGCCAACATGTTCCCGTTATCTGCATGCTGTGCTCACACCCACACCCGCCCCCCCCCATCCTCCCACATACACTGTGAGAGCTGTGTCTGGATATTGCTGAGGGCTCTGTCTGTGTTCCTTCTGTGCACTGAAGAGCAAGCATTCTGCTGTCCATGGCTAGTGATTGCTGGTTAGAAATTACAGGATATCCAGGGAGAAGAGGCTGAGAAGAATATACTCTTGCTGGCAGAGCTAAGAATGTGTTCCTCATGAGAAAAAGTGGGAGACTATTGGAAAGGGACAAGAAGAAAGGAATTGTAAAGATTCCACTTTCTCAGTTCTGAACTGAACTTTTGCGCTCAGTGGGGTTCACAGCCCCCTCCCACTCGGGGAGGGCTCCCCTGCGGTCCTGCAGTCTGTTAAGTAAACAGAGACTTTTACTGAGAAAGGAACATTTCTCTATTTTGGCTATGAGTTGTTATTTTTAATACTTCATCCTCTAAACATGTTCTCCTATCCTTGGGTTTTTTTTCACTAGAAAAAAAAATGCTACTTTAAAACAAGAAAAGACTCATTTCTAGTTTGTTCTTCCTGCTTCAGGCCAACTTCCCATTTGGTGTGATCACCCTTTCACCCCCCTTGACAGTATAACTTTTGAAGATCTCCTTCTACTTACGAGAGCTTCCATGTACCCTAATTTCCACAATCAAAATAAAATGTGTCAGGGTAATCATTCTCCGCATACTTCAGGTGCAAAGACAAATCTTAATGTGAATGTATGTTTTTATCAACATCTTATAGCTAACCTTTAAATAAAGCTCCTAATGTTTTCTGCACACAGTCTAAACACTCATTCACCTTCACCTGAGAATACTCTGACTGCTGCTTCTGTGTTGACATGGGTCATATCTGTGGGGACTGATGTCAGGTATTCAGAGACTTTCTGTTCATATGTGTTCTGGGCAGTGGATACTCCCACATCATAACTATCTTCCCCCTGCTCATGTTCCTGATCACTTTCTTTTTTCTTTAAAGATTTATTTATTTATGCATACAGAACTGGGGTACAGGCCAGAGTTGCAGGGGTGGTGAGAGGATTCACCAGAGACAGAGTGGGGAGCAGAACAGGCAAAAGTACACTGCTGAGGGGAGCAGCGG